ACAGAACGTGCTGAAGTGCGTAGCGTGTACAAATCGTCAGTCCTCGGTTATAACGCTCACTACGGAGTTCTAAACTGCCTCTGGAAGCAACGTCAGCACAAGAACGTTTTGTCGGGAGCTTCATGAATTGTGTTTCCATGGCCAAGCAGCTGCACACAAGCCTAAGATCACCATGCGCAATGCCAAGCGTCAGCTGGAGTGATGTAAAGCTCGCCGCAGTTGGACTCCGGAGCAGTGGAAACGTGTTCAAATCTAGGTTTGGCGGATACCAGGGCAACGCTACCTGCCCAAATGCATAGTTCCAAATGTAAAGTTTGGTGGAGGAGGAACAATTGTCTGGGGCTGTTTTTCATGGTTTGGGCTAGGCCCCTTAGTTCCAGTGAAGGGAAATCTTAACACTACAGTATACAATGACATTCTAGATGATTCTGTGCTTCCAACTTTGTGGCAACAGTTTGGGAAGGCCCTTTCCTGTTTCAGCATGACAATGCCCCCGTGCACAAAGTGTGGTCCATACAGAAATGGTGTGTCGAGATCGGTGTGGAAGAACTTGATTGGCCTACATAGAGACCTGACCTCAACCCCATCGAACACCTTCGGGATTAATTGGAACGCCAACTGCGAGCCTGGCTAATAGCCCAACATCAGTGCCCGACCTCACTAATGCTCGTGGCTGAATGGAAGCAAGTCCCCGCAGCAATGTTCCAACATTTGGTGGAAAGACTTCCCAGAAGAGTGGAGGCTGTTATAGCAGCAAAGGCGGGACCAACTCCATATTAATGCCCATGATTTTGGAATGAGATGTTCGACGAGCAGGTGTCCACATACTTTTGGTCATGTAGTGTTAGTAACATACTAAAAAAATCCCCATCAAAATCCGCCAGTTTAAGATAGCGATGGGCTGGTCTCAATCCAGGTGGCCGAGATACAGCTGGGTTTTTTTAGACCATGAGACATCCCGAAAATCTGTCTTCTCACGAAGACGTCTGTAGCGTCCGAACGGTCTACAAACTATAATGACCACTCTATGAAAAGGGAAGACTCTCAAAAACACAATATTCTCCGTTTTGCTCTACGGCCCCCACAGGACTCGTCAGAAGACAGTACTGTCGATGTGCCAACTTCAGTTTCTAGTGTCCGAACAGTTTGGTCTACAAACTAATGTCACCCCACTGGAAAGTATTCAGACATTTACTTTTTACACATTTTGTTACGTTACAGCCTTATTCTAAAATTGATTTAAAAAATAAAATAATCAATCTACAAAAAATACCCCATAATGAGAAAGCAAATATTTTCACATTTACATAAGTATTTAGACCCTTTTAACTCAGTACTTTGTTGAAGCACCTTTGGCAGCGATTACAGCCTTAAGTCTTCTTGGGTATGATGCTAGAAGCTTGGCACACCTGTAATTGGGGAGCTTCTCCCATCCTTCTCTGCAGATCCTCTCAAGCTCTTTCAGGTTGGATGGGGAGCGTCGCTGCACAGCTATTTTCAGGTCTCTCCAGAGATGTTCGATCGGGTTCAAGTACGGGCTCTGGCTGGACCACTCAAGGACATTCAGAGACTTGTGCCGAAGCCACTCCTTCGTTGTCTTGGCTGTGTGCTTAGGGTCGTTGTCCTGGTGGAAGGTGAACCTTCATCAAGGATCTCTCTGTACTTTGCTCTGTTCATCTTTCACTCAGTCCTGACTAGTCTCCCAGTCCCTGCACTGAAAAACATCCCCACAGCATGATGCTGCCACCACCATGCTTCACCGTAGGAATGGGGCCTGGTTTCCTCCAGATGTGACATGGAATCTTGTTTCTCATGGTCTGAGAGTCCTTTAGGTGCAGAGAAGGTTGTCCTTCTGGAAGGTTCTTCCATCTCCACAGAGGAACTCTGGAGCTCTGTCGGAGTGACCATCGGGTTCTTGGTCACCTCCCTGACCAAGGCCCTTCCCCCGATTGCTCAGTTTGGCCAGTTTGCCAGCTCTAGGAAGAGTCTTGGTGGTTCCAAAATTATTCCATTCAAGAATGATGGAGGCCACTGTGTTCTTGGCGACCTTCAATGCTGCAGACAGTTTTGGGTACCCTTCCCCAGATCTGTGCCTAGACACAATCCTGTCTCGGAGCTCTAAAGGCAATTCCTTCGACCTCATGGCTTGGTTTTTGCGCTGACATGCACTGTCAACTGTGGGACCTTATATAGACAGGTGTGTGCCTATCCAAATCATGTCCAATCAATTGAATTTACCACAGGTGGACTCCAATCAAGTTGTAGAAACATCTCAAGGATGATCAATGGAAACAGGATGCACCTGAGCTCAATTTTGAGTCTCATAGCAAAGGGTCTGAATACTTACGTAAATAAGGTATTTATGTTTTAGATTTTTACAAATTTGCAAAAATGTCTAAAAACATCTCGATTGAACTTCATATGAATGAAATAGGCCTATAGCTAGCTAGCTGCTTATATTTTAAGGCAGTTCTCGGTTTTTATTTGAGTCTTTGTTCTGAAATCATCAGCGGTCACAGAGATGGATAAACCATGTGATTCTATGTTTAGCTGAGATTTTCTTTATAAAGTGAGGGCAAAAAAGCATCCAACGACACACTTAGTGTTTCTAGGAGTGGTCTGAGGCAGGCGTTAGATTACGAGTGTTTAAGTGCAACGTTAACAATGGTTTTGGGAAACAGCTCAGAGATTTAATGACGCTCCTACGAAGGTTCTAACAATGAACTTAGCCTTAGGGTGCTTTCACATATCCCTTTATGATCTGGATCCTGGAGCGTTTGGTACCCTGATCTGCGCTATAAAGCATGTGTGAAACGCAAACAAACCCTGGATGAAACAAATCCTGGAACTGCGTGAGTAGCGGGACCAGAGTACCAGGTATTGTGACATGGCAGTGCGAGTTGCGTTCAACTCTTTTGCCTGTTGTAAACAAGCTAGTTCGCTAACATGTAGAATGTGCATCTTGTTAATCGCACCCTGAAACGGTTATTTTCAGGTCTTGTGAAAGCAAAACGTATTCTGTAGAATTCTCACAAACGCTACAGGAAACCGAACCAGGTTACCGAATTTCATATGTGAAAACCAGTGGAGGCTCCTCAGAGGGGGAAGGGGATCCTCCTCAGTGAATTTCTTAAAAATAAAAATTGTAAAACATTTTTTAAAGTTATCAATTTTAGATAGAAATATACTAAATATAATCACGGCACCAAATAACTGATTAAAACACTATTTTGCAAAGGTCTACAGTAGCCGCAACAGCACTCTGTAGGGTAGCACCATGGTGTAGCCGGAGGACAGCTAGCTTCTATCCTCCTCTGGGTACATTGACTTTAATACAAAACCTAGGATGCTCATGGTTCTCACCCCCTTCCATAGACTTACACAGTAATTATGACAACTTCCGGAGGATGTCCTCCAGCCTATTAGAGCTCTTGTAGCATGAACTGACATGTTGTCCACCCAATCAAAGGATCAGATAATTAATCTAGTACTGAAAGCATAAACTACAGCTAGCTAGCACTGCAGTGTATAAAATGTGGTGAATAGTTGACAAAGAGAGAAAGACAATAGTTGAACAGTTGTGAACAAATTCATTTCCTCCAAAATTAAGGACAAGCAAGAGAGGAATAGAGAGAGAGATTGTCATTTTTTTTCAGTTTCACTTAGCTAGCAAATGCAGCTAGCTAGTTTAGCCTACTGAAACACACTGCTTAAACAGAGGGATGCTATGTTAGCTAGCTGGCTATGACTTTCCAACACAACACTGGAATTCTTCCAAGTCAAGGTAAGCTTTTGGTATTATTAATTTATTGCCACCGGGGCCCGCCGGTTTATCTGCTTACAATACCGTTACTGCATGATTGTAGCGGGTTTACTAACGTGTTAGTTCTATTAGCTATGCTGACTATGATGTTACTTTAGCTAATATGGTGACAACGATGTAGGCTGTCTCCAGCGGTTTGGCTTGGAAAGGTTTTTTTTCACCTGGTCACATACAGCTGATGTGTTGTGCATTGAAGTCCACAAGCAAAGGGAAGAGGTGAGAGGAGGAGAGCCAGGAATACAAAGTGGCTGCTATGAAAGTGAACTGTGATCAGGGGTGTATTCATTCCGCCGATTCTGTTGAAAAAATGTTTTTCTTAAAACAGAAGCAAACAGAACAAAACAGGGATAAACATACCTGAATTTGTCCAAAAGAAACTCTCGTTTGCAACTGTTGGACTAATGATTACACCCTATATCAGCTAGATGCAGGCAAGAGTGTGCAAGGCGGTATTGAATAACCTGTTGTAAACTTTCATTCATAGGCTAGGTTGTAGCAACCTCATGATGGGTATAGGGATAATTTGAGTATCATGTAGTAGCCTAAACCCATCGCTGTTGCATTGAACTGGGTCAATGGAATATGAATGAGAGTCATCCAATATGCTGTAATAGAAATAAGGCCATGCTCATTAAAAAAAACAACGGCACTGAAAGCCACTGGTGAAAACGCCCTTAAGATCCTTTTGGGAAACCGGCCCCGATTGGCAAAAATACAAAATTATTGGAAAAAAATCATAATTGGGCTGCTTGTGTGAACGAAGCTTTTGTGACAACTGGGGATGCAAAAAGGTATTCTATAAATGATAGATTGGATGAAGCTCACTGATTGAGACCCTGCCTCTCTACCATGTCCACATGCAGGCTGTTCCCATTGTCTCGAAGGCTCGCTACCTGGAGAAGAGAGGAGAGCTACACGAGCTCTCCAAGGGGGCCTCTCTCTTCAGTGCTCGTCTCAAACTCACCCCCATCTACCTCTTCCTCTTCAATGACCTACTCATCATCACATGCAAAAAGAGGCAAGCGAAAGGATATACTCCACATACTGACCAACCGTTTCAATGTTTTACTGACCATTTAAGTAAATGCGCTGTGGGCAACTGGTTGTAATAACATTTCAACCAGTTTTGCCTGCTGGGTGGTGAATATGCTAGTTTCTCTCGCCCTTTCCTTTCCAGCTCAGAGCGCTATATGGTGACAGACCACGCCCACCGCTCCCTGGTGCAGGTCCAGCCCGCAGGGTTTGGGGCTGGAGCGGGGGACCCAGGGCCCAAGTGGGAGCATTCCTTCTGTCTGCTACTACTGGAGAACCACCAAGGCCTGGCCTGTGAACACCTGCTGAAGGCCCCCTCAGAGTGAGAGAAAACACTCGCACACAGCCTCCCAACCAACCACCTCTCAGATAATGCACTATACACTAAAGAGTAAGACAAAAATGCATTACAGTGTTGTACCCGGTTTCTGCTCTCTCTCCTCGCTCTCTAGGTCAGATATGCACCGGTGGATGGCAGCATTCCCTTCCCTAAATGACCCAAACAGAGAGAACAAAGAGGTGATTTATGAGGACTGGGGTGAGTAAAGAGACGTGACTGACCCAGTCGTAAAATATTAACATTCCTAGTTAGATGCACCTACTTCCCTGAAGTGAAATTGTAGCCTTAACCTTTTGTGGGTTCATAGATTGTCCCCAGGTGCAGTGTGTGGAACAATATGTTGCCCAGCAGGCTGATGAGCTCACCATGGAGCCTGCTGACATCATCAACGTGCTATGCAAGACCAATGAGGGTATGTGGACCAAACAATGGAAATTTATTTTCAGTACAACATTCCTACTGAATTGTCAAGCATCTTTATTGGAAGACTTACAGTGCATTCGGAGAGTATTCAGACCCCTTGACTTTTTCCCAAAAAAAATACGTTACAGCCTTATTCTGAAATGGATTACCCCATAATGACAAAGCAAAAACCTGTTTTTTTGAAAGTTCAGCAAATGTATCAAAGATAAAAAACATGAATACCTTATTTACATAAGTATTCAGACCCTTTGCTATGAGACTCTATATTGAGCTCAGGTGCATCCTGTTTCTATTGATCATCCTTGAGATGTTTCTACTACTTTATTGCAGTCCACCTGTGGTAAATTCAATTGATTGGACATGATTTGGAAAGGCACACACACACACCTGTCTATATAAGGTCTCACAGTGGACAGTGCATGTCAGAGCATGAGGTCGAAGGAATTGTCCGTAGAGCTCCGAGACAGGATTGTGTCAAGGCACAGATCTGGGGAAGGGTACCAAAACATTTCTGCAGCATTGAAGGTCCCCAAGAACACAGTGGCCTCCATCATTCTTAAATGGAAGAAGTTTGGAACCACCAAATGGGCCAAACTGAGCAATCGGGGGAGAAGGGCCTTGGTCAGGGAGGTGAATAAGAACCCCTATGGGTCACTTTGACAGAGCTCCAGAGTTCCTCTGTGGAGATGGGAGAACCTTCCAGAAGGACAACCATCTCTGCAGCACTCCACCAATCAGGTATTTATGGTAGAGTGTCCAGACAGAAGCCACTCCTCAGTAAAAGGCACATGACAGCCCACTTGGAGTTTGCCAAAAGGCACCTAAAGGAATCTCAGACCATGAGAAACAAGATTCTCTGGTCTGATGAAACCAAGATTGGCCTGGATGCCAAACGTCATGTCTGGAGGAAACCAGGCACCCATCCCTACGGTGAAGCATGGTGGTGGCAGCATCATGCTGTGGGGATGTTTTTCAGCAGCAGGGATTGGGAGACTAGTCAGGATTGAGGGAAAGATGAACGGAGCAAAGTACAGAGAGATCCTTCATGAAAACCTGCTCCAGAGCGCTCAGGACCTCAGACTGGGGTGAAGGTTCACCTTCCAACAGGACAACGACCCTAAGCACACAACCAAGACAACGCAGGAGTGGCTTCGGCACAAGTCTCTGAATGAACCCGATCAAACATCTCTGGAGAGACCTGAAAATAGCTGTGCAGCAACGCTCCCCGTCCAACCTGACAGAGCTTGAGAGGATCTGCAGAGAAGAATGGGAGAAACTCCCCAAATACAGGTGTGCTAACGTTGTAGCATCATACCCAAGAAGACTCGAGGCTGTAATCTCTGCCAAAGGTGCTTCAACCAAGCACTGAGTAAAGGGTCTGAATACTTATGTAAATGTAATATTTAAGTTTCTTATTTTGTATAAATTAGCAAAGAATTCTAAAAACCTGTTTTTGCTTTGTCATTATGGGGTATTGTGTATAGATTGATGAGGGGGGAAAAATAATTTAATCCATTTTTGAATAAGGATGTAACGTTAAAATTTTTTGGGGGAAAAAGTCAAGGGGTCTGAATACTTTCTGAAACACTGTACAATGTGAAAACCTTTTCCATGAATCAAAATGTAATCTCCCTCTGTTAACTATATTTTGTCATCACAGTACATTGTCTTTTTTCCCCCTTCATGACTACCGGTATGCCCTGCGTCCCTCAGATTGGTACAAGGGGATGCGTCTGTCTGACGGGGAGAAGGGTTGGTTCCCTAGCAGAAGCGTGGTGGAGATAACCAACGAGCATCTGAGGAGAAGGAACCTTCGGGAGCAGTACCGCATCGCTCAAGCTGCAGCTAAAGTCACAAAGAACTAACTACCTGCATAGTTGTATGTGCATCCCAAATCGCACCCTATTCCCTACATAGTGCTCTAGTTTGGAGAAATGTCCAATGGGTCCTTGTCAAAAGTAGTGCACTATAAAAGGTATTACAGTGCTATTTGGGACATACCCTGTGTCAAACCAAGGATTTCTCTAACCCTCTTTTTCTTGTTTTTACAAACTTTTTTTTTTTTTTTACCCACAGAGCTTCATCTCAAGTGCATCATATATATATATTTTTGTAGCTGTAATGGTTAAACTAGTAGTGCTATACTACTCTTACCTACACCTGCTGCCAAATGCTCCCCATCCACTGTTTGATGTACTGTATTGATGGAAATCTTTCCTAGACAAAATCAATCAATAACCATGTTTATATGCACAATTATTTTATTCGACAGACATTACGTGTCATGATGTTGTATAAGGCTGGGCTGTGACTCTGGCCCAAATCAGGGCCAGCCCAGTATACGACGATAATGCCAGGACCCCCCGGCATCATGGTGACCAGGTTTATTATAGGTACGGTACACCTCAGAGGACAGGGGGCCTGCAAATACAATACAACACACAAACAAGATAAATAGTCACTAAATGTCCTATCATAGGTATTTGCCTCTCTTTCCAATGCCTTCAAGGTATCAAAGCTGTGTACAATAGTAGTTGTATTAATTATTGAAATTATTGGGGGAAATTATTTTTAAGTCAACATTAAATATGTTTCCAGAGAAAATGTTCAAATAAAAAGTTGCACAACAGTAAAAGACAGCAATGCTTAAACAGTGTAAAGTGCAAAGACTGAACTGTGAGACATTTACATACCTGCTACTGATGTCAACCTCCAGCTGGTAGCCCATTACGTTTTCTTCCTATAGAGATTCAGAGGACAAGTGGTTGAAAACGCAATCGTAGCCATATCTGAATAGAGGCATTAAACAGCCAGTATTGGCAAACGTTGCAGATAGAAATGTCAAGAATAGAGCTGACATTACTCCTTATTCTGTTCAGAGGGATGAAGCTCACCTCTGATGAAGGGGTGTTGCTGGGCCCATGGGTGATGGTGGTGGGAGCGAGAGGCTCGGCTGTGGGGCCAGGCAGGGAGGGCCCGGGGCTGGTAGATTGTAAGGGTACGGGTCCCATTCGCTGGGTGGATGCAACCAATTGGGATGCTATGAATGAATGAATGAATGAAGCCAAGCAATCAAAAACAGACTGAGTGGAAATATTGGAATGTGGTTGCAAAAGGTGGAGAAAAAAAAAAATCTCACCTAAAGTGGGGATATGGGGAGCTAAGGGTCTTCAGGTCTATGGGGACTTTGGGCCGATACCGGACCTCATTGGTGTACACCAGGTCACCTTCCTCTAGCTGGGTAGAAAAGAGAGTCATCGGGTGTCGTAGAGAGAATAGCATGCAAAACAACGGTACAAGAGCATGAGGACTGGGGTGAGTAAAGAGACGTGACTAGTCAGATCTAACTCGCAACAAAAGACCTACAAAACTAATATGGTACTTCTGAACAGATGCAATCAAAGTTGCTGATACTGTAGAGTCTAGATGCGGTCCACTCACAGTTGTGGAGGTGCCACAGGAGTCGAGAGAAAAGCTGTACAGAGCCCTGGCTCCATCAGTCTCTATGGGAACACAGGAGGGATCCAGCAGGGACGTTAGTCGGGGGTTGACGGCTGAAGAAACACTGGATATATCCACCACCACCACCATCCTGCTGTCTGGTAGACACACTGCAGGGAGAGAGAAGGGAAGAGCATCCAGACTTCAGAAAAGCAAAAGGATCACCGTAGTAATAGAATTGCATTTATTTTTGGAGGACCACTTTCTAAACTCCTGTGAGCACTGATAACATGTCTTTAAGGAGCCACAGACTTATTTGACTTCAGTCAATATACAGTGTTATCACTAGTGATAATATAGACTGAAGTCAAAGAGAAATCTAATAATATTTAAAAGACGAAGAAAAAAAAGTATGGCCCGCATCCGGCCCGCCGGGGACTTCAATCCGGCCCGCGAGACACCTTTTAAATGTAGTTAATATTATTATATTTCAGATACGATTTTGGCCCTAAAATTACTCATTCCATTATCTACAAACAACCTCCAATAGATGGCGCTGTAGCCTTGCAACGCGCTCTGTATTTGGGCCTACAGTCAGATTCAGAATGCGCTCAGTCATCAAAGCCACTTCATTGCTTGACGACTTTTGACATGAAAAATGAGTGCTGCGAAAATGAGAAAAGTAGACTGAATGTCATGTGTTTAAAGAAGAATGGACAGCAAAATACGTTTTTTACTAATATTGAACATAAGGCTGATATGCCAAGAAAGTGTTGCTGTTTTTAAGGAATATAAATCTCAATCGTTATTTTTCAAGCAAGCATGCTAAAAATGTGTTAAAGCTGGAAAATGTCAAAGTGGTTGTAAAACTTGTTAACTTTATATGGGCAAGGGGGCTTAACCATGGTCAGTTCATTCAGCTGCTCAATGACACAGAGGCAGAGCACCAGGACTTGTTGTACCATTCTGGATTACTGCAACTCGCTGTTTGCTGGGCTCCCTGCCTGTGCCATTAAACCCCTACAACTCATCCAGAATGCCGCAGCCCGTCTGGTGTTCAACCTTCCCAAGTTCTCTCACGTCACCCCGCTCCTCCGCACACTACACTGGCTTCCAGTTGAAGCTCGCATCTGCTACAAGACATGGTGCTTGCCTACGGAGCTGTGAGGGGAACGGCACCTCCGTACCTTCAGACTCTGATCAGTCCCTACACCCAAACGAGGGCATTGCGTTCATCCACCACTGGCCTGCTGGCCCCCCAACCTCTGCGGAAGCACAGTTCCTACTCAGCCCAGTCATAACTGTTCACTGCTCTGGCACCCCAATGGTGGAACAAGCTCCCTCACGACACCAGGACAGCAGAGTCACTCACCACCTTCCGGAGACACTTGAAACCCCACCTCTTTAAGGAATACCTGGGATAGGATGAAGTAATCCTTCTACCCCCCACTTACCACACCCCCAAAATTTTTTTTAAATAATAATATTGTAAAGTGGTTATCCCACTGGCTATAAGGTGAATGCACCAATTTGTAAGTCGCTCTGGATAAGAGCGTCTGCTAAATGACGTAAATGCAAATTCAAATGAGAGGGAAGATAGGCATTTTCCTTCATACGGTTGGTAAAGCTGACGACTTCTCCGAGTTGAAAGACACAGACTGGCTGGATGACTTTGCTTTCGGTGTGGACATATTGGGGCATCTGAACGATCTAAAAGGGAAACTGCAGGGAAATTGTGTTTTTGTGCATGAACTGTATTCCAACATGAAAGCATTCAAGGCCAAACTTATGTTGTTCTCCAGACAAATGAGCAGCCGGTCTCGCTCATTTTCCGACACTGGCCGCACTGAACGCGACCACATCGCAGTGCCGCACTGAGACATACAGTAGCACTTTGATAGACCTGCATGCTGAGTTTTCCCACAGCTTCTCAGACTTCACCAAGACTGAGCTGGAGCTTGTATCACGCCCCCTGTCTTTCGACAGTGAGAAAGCACCACCAGACACACAATTGGAGCTCATCGATACCCAATGTGACAGTGCTTTGAAGGAGAAGTACAAAACAGCAACAATAGACCAGTTCTATGGTTCACTGAATGAAACAAAGTTTCCAAACATTAAAAAGCATTCCCAAAGGATGCTTGTTTTATCCGGGTCCACATAGGTGTGTGAACAAACGTTCTCAGTCATTAATTATAACAAATCCTGTCACCACTTGTCAGCTGTTCTGAGAATCTCTACATTAAAGATGACACCAGACTTTGATGCCCTTGCCAAGAGAGATGACCAGACCCATTGTTCACATCAAAACTCGAATATCCGTGACTGGGGTAGGCAAGCATTATACTTTTTCATGGTGATGGTTATGCAGTGAGAATTATCCAGCAAAGCACTTGGATACAGGTAATAACTAAATCAGTCAGATTTGGGCTGAGGTGATTGGATAACTGTAAATATGTCTCACAATGAAGATGAGAATTTCTCCTTAATATGCTTTCAAAAACAGACCATTCCAAATTAAACGGATGCACTTACCATATGTTTCACTCAAATTTTAGAATCATAAAAAAATAAAAAATAATAATTACACATTAGCTGTTACATTTTGCATGTCTGCAGTCATATAATATCTGTTTTTAAGTTTACATAGTGACTAAGTTTGATTGTACTTTATAAGGGTAGAGATGCAGGATCTGTGCGTGTGTCTGTGATGTTATAAATTATATAAATTGTGTGAAAATTGTGAAAAATGTGCTCACAAAAAACAAGGGTAGAATTGTTCTGCAAGCATATGTCCACCTACAGTACACTAGTAGTTGCGGGTTAATGTGAAAATGAATAAAGGCTTCACATGTTTTGTCACACATATAGTATGTGGCCCTTCACTTGGTTTCAAAAACTCAATATATGATCACTATGCAAGGGTTCTCCACAAATAAGAGGGGTGCTGCGCAATGTTCCCTCTAAACTGAGCTCCCCTCGGACTGCCATGCAGATGAAATTTCAGCCCGGAATTGTGCTCGAATCAACGCAATATTAGCCACTTTTAATGTAACATACCGAAACAAAATGAACTCTGCAAAACTAACTGTGCAAGAGGTTTTCTGGTAGGCAGAGTGCATTGGAGTAAGATTCTATTGCATTGACATGCACGACTCCGAGCCAATTTATGCTTGATCTGAAAATATGGTCGAATATATGAATTCAGGCTGTAACACAACAACATTTAGAATAAGTGAAGGGGTATGAATACTTTCTAAAGGCACTGTATGCTTATGGGTGTTTTATTTAATCATAACCTTAGAAAGTGCTGTCCATTTAGTTGTTTGGCTTCAAAACAACATCCACAACGACCATGTTTCCACTCAGTTTTAACATGTTGTTGAACTTCTTTCTTCAAATTGATCATCACAGTGAGCTGAGTTTTAAAAGCATGATACTGTTTTGATGATGAGTGTTTGATGCGATTTTCGAGTGCATTTGCATTGATGTCGGAGTGGTTAGAGGGACAATAGAGTGCTGAGTACCAGGCCATTAGCAACCTGATAGTTTTTAACGAGTTCGGTACTGAACGCATGTCCAGAGTGCTTGTGGTCCTCTGTAGCTCAATTGGTAGAGCATGGCACTTGTAACGCCAGGGTAGTGGGTTCGATCCCCGGGACCACCCATACGTAAAAATGTATGCGCACATGACTGTCCTCTGTAGCTCAGCTGGTAGAGCACGGTAGAGCAGGTAGCACGGCGCTTGTAACGCCAAGGTAGTGGGTTCAATCCCCGGGACCACCCATACACAAAAATGTATGCACGCATGACTGTAAGTCGCTTTGGATAAAAGCGTCTGCTAAATGGCATATTATATTTATTATATTTACTGTAAGTCGCTTTGGATAAAAGCGTCTGCTAAATGGCTTATTATTATTATTATTAATTGTTAGATACTACTGCACTGTTGGAGCTAGCACAAGCATTTTGCTACACCTGCAATAACATCTGCTAAATATGTGCACGTGACCAATAAAATGTGATTTGATTTAATGTTTGACAGTTTACTAAACTGATTTAGAACCACAAAGACAACAGGAGCACTGCCTCCGCTATTCCAGCACCATTTTAACATAAACATCAAATCAACTAGGCTATATATGCTTAGTTTAATACAGTGAAAACAAACTTAAAACGTACTACGCCAGGACAACCTACAGTTGAGCTCAGCTCAACGCTGATTGGCTACATGTCATAGTATTTTGGTCCAGACAGCATCAGATCCATGGGCTACACATACTGAGACAGAGGGCCGCTGTTTCCCCTCGCTCGGATGAGTGCTCCGGTGAGATTCAGCCACTTGCGAATTGAAGGAAAGTTATGAAAACACAGAGAAACTAAATAAATTACTTTATAATTTAAAATGTTTCTATTGGTCAAATATTTGGGGAAGCCTGGCTTCCCTTGGCTTCCATGAATACACACCACTGCTGTGGAGTTTGTTAGGATCAAATGAAATAAGAAAGGAGCAAAGCCCAGCTAAAAAGTTATAGGAAAACCCATCTCAGTCTTCTGAAAACCTAACCCTGGGATAGGGTTTTATTTCTCTGCGGGACAATTACAGAATTTGTTTTATGCAAAAGATACCAGAATGGCTTTCCAAAAGGTGTTGAGTGTTCCTGACTGGTCTAGTCCTGACTCAGTTCTGCTTAAGAAAAACCAGAGACAAGGTTTAAATATCGCTGATATTTAAACCTTGACCTGATCCCCAAACAGATTTACTGAGCCTGAGCAATTTTAAAAAAATACAATTAAAAATATATATTTTCCCTAAGAGTTGTGTAAAGTTGGTAGAATCTTAATGAAAATGATTCACAGCTGTAATGGCTGCCAAAGGTGCTTCCACCAAGTATTAACTCAGAGGGGTGGAGACTTATCCAATTTTTCACATAACTTTTTCATTTTGAAGATATGAAATAAAATATAATGTAATCCCTTTTTCAATTACATTTTTAGACAACAAAATGTGAAAGTTGTCCAAGGGGGTGTAGACTTTCTATAGGCACTCTAGTTTATAGAGCCGCTGAACAAACGCCTCTCCCCTATTTGACCTAGATAGTTTGTGTGTATGTATTGATATGTAGGCTACGTGTGCCTTTTTTAAATTGATGTAGTCTGTCCTTGAGCTGTTCTTGTCTATTAATGTTCTGTATTATGTCACGTTTCATGTTTTGTGTGGAACCCAAGAAGAGCAGCTGCTGCTTTCGCAACAGCTAATGGGGATCCTAATAAAATACCAAATACCCATGTTAGTGGGCAAATGGACATCGTCAAATCAAAACCCAACCTTAATTTCCCCATTGTGACGCACGGATGTTCCAAACTCAGTTTTAAAACGAGACTGACTTTATTACCAAAATTATCCTATTTACACTTCGTAGTCAATTTTGACACTAGAATAACTACTTCTGACTCATATCAACGCCACATAGGACATTTTCAAAGGGATTTTCAAAGATATCCATATCTAATCTCATACAGTTTGTTGATCACACATTCTATACCAACCCACTGGTTGGGGTTTCAGTGGGATTGGTACTGGATAGGTCGATAGAATTTTCCCTCATGCCTCTCTGAATTGTTGCAGACTTCATGTCTGTGAAAGAGATGCCCATGTAGTGAATTGTGCATAGGCCTATCAAATTTGTGACTGTCTGAAGAGTCACAACAGCTCAAAAAGAGGAACACATTATTTTATAGGCTAGGGGTTCCCTGTAGGGTTTATTAACTGCATTTGGGTCCCGTGTGCAGTCCAGCAGTGTCAATTATGCATGCATTTTGAATTTATGGCGACTTTATGCAAAGTAAATACACCGGGCTTCCATGCAACAACCTGCTAGGATAATGTGCTATTAAATGTTTTGCTAATCTGCTGCTGTGCATGTTGTGTATTTTGTGAAATTGCATTATTTGTTATTTTATTAGGATCCCCATTAGCTGTTGCAAAAGCAGCGGATACTCTTCCTGTGACATTGTGGGAAAATGTAATTTCCTGGGTCTTGTCATTTTATTTTTTGGGAAATGTGTAGTGTTCCCGGGACAGTCCAGGGATCCCGGTTACCCATGTTAATCCCTAGGGGGCGGTTAGGTCAGGTAGGTTACCCGGCCTGTCTAAGAGCTAATTTATGCTTGATCTGAAAATGTGGTGGGAGGTGGAGTATGGATGGTGTGACGCGAATGCGGAGCCTCCAGAGGCACACAGAGACCAAATTGAGCTCCGTACCACATCGCCGTGCACCGCTCACATTTTGTTACAATGCGCAGGGCTCCGTATAACTCCGCATTGACATGATTGATTGATGGTAGGTGGGGGGAGTTCCTGTATAAACACAAACTCACTTAACTTCTTTATGCCCCTTTTCAAGACTATGCTAGCAGCTAGTTACCGACCGGAACATTAAGCTATCCAAGACCATCAACACAAACAGACAGTACAGCTACAAGTAGTGAGTGGAGTTCCAAACGGACCTGTGATGAAATGTTTTCCACACACACACTCAGCTACGTGTAGCCTACTTGGACAGGGCGTCCCCATATTTCCCAGTCTCCCACACCAAATAGCCTGAAGCCACAGGGCTCTTCTCGCAGGCTCTATTTCCCTACATGGGAGCATTGCGAACCGTAGGTGGGGATTTTTGCCCTGGCTACATGTACTGTACAATGAACAATAACACTGCAGCTTTTCGGCACGTTTTGTTATTTCTGTATAACAAAACAAAAAAACAACAACGAAGTTGCCTCTTTTTAGGAAAACATGTCGGTTTACCCCAATTAGTGGGCGTGGTCGATTCCATATTATTATGCGAATACCGGCTGGAACTATTGGCAGTATGATGCTACAGTGTTTGGCATTCCAAACACAAAAACCAACAAAAACACAAACCACAGCGGAATATAATGTGGATAATACCATGTGGGAGGATGACGTGCTTCTTTTGAGCCTACAATGAAGAAAATCAGCACGGCATTGTAAGAGGAGATCCTCCCGCAGTTTATAATCCTTAGCGTATTATATACAGTGCATTCGGAAAGTATTCAGACCCCTTGACTTTTTCCACATTGTTACACTACAGCCTTATTCTAAAATATATATATATTTAAATATTCCCTCAATATCCCATAATGACAAAGCAAAAACTGGTTTGAAATTTTTGCAAATGTATTACAAATAAAATGGAAATATCACATTTACATTAGTTTTCAGACCCTTGTCGAAGCACCTTTGGCAGTGATTATAGCCTCGAGTCTTCTTGGGTATGAAGCTACAAGCTTGGCACACCTGTATTTGGGGAGTTTATCCCATTCTTCTCTGCAGATCCTCTCAAGCTCTGTCAGGTTGGATGGGGAGCGTCACTGCACAGCTATTTTCAGGTCTCTCCAGAGGAGATGTTCGATTGGGTTCAAGTCCGGGCTCTGGCTGGGCCACTCAAGGACATTCAGAGACTTGTCCCAAAGCTACTGCTGCGTTGTCTTGGCTTTGTGCTTAGGGTCATTGTCCTGTTGGAAGGTGAACCTTCCTGGAGCAGGTTTTTATCAAGGATCTCAATGTACTTTGCTCCGTTCATCTTTCCCTCGATCCTGACTAGTCTCCAAGGCCAAAGAGTTCAATCTTGGTTTCATCATACCAGAGAATCTTGTTTCTCATGGTCTGAGAGTGCTTTAGGTGCCTTTTGGCAAACTCCAAGCGGGCTGTCATGCGCCTTTTAATGAGGAGTGGCTTCCGTCTGGCCACTCTACCATAAAGGCCTGATTGGTGGAGTGCTGCAGAGATGGTTGTCCTTCTGGAAGGTTCTCCCATCTCCACAGAGGAACTCTGGAGCTCTGTCAGAGTGCCCATCGGGTTCTTGGTCACCTCCCTGACTAAGGCCCTTCTCCCCCGATTGCTCAGTTTGGCCGGGCGGCCAGCTCTAGGAAGAGTCTTGGTGGTTCCAAACTTCTTCCATTTAAGAATGATGGAGGCCACTGTGTTCTTAGGGACCTTCAAAGCTGCAGACATTTTCGGGTACCCTTCCCCAGATCTGTGCCTCGACACAATTCTGTCTCGGAGCTCTACAGACAATTGCGTCGAACTCATGGCTTGGTTTTTGCTCTGGCATGCACTGTCAAGTGTGGGACCTTATTTAGACAGGTGTGTGCCTTTCCAAATCATGTCCAATCAATTTAATTTACCACAGGTGGACTCCAATCAAGTTGTAGAAACATCAAGGACTATCAATGGAATCAAGATGCAGCTAAGCTCAATTTCGAGTCTCATAGCAAAGGGTCTGAATACTTAGGTAAATAAGGTATTTTTTTAAAATTTGTAATACATGTCTAAAAACCTGTTTTCGCTTTGTCATTATGGGGTATTGTGTATAGATTGATGAGGAAAACAATGTATTTAATCAATTTTAGAATAAGGCTGTAACGTAACAAAATGTGGAAAGTCAAGGGGTCTGAATACTTTCCGAATGCACTGTATAATATGGATGCATGTAGAATGGTACCGTAAATGCATTGGTTGTTTTACCCAGTAGTTCCTTCACAAGGAAGACACAGCGCTGGGTGAAGGTGTGCTCCTCTATGGCCGTCTCTCTGTCCTCCACTGTCACTCTCACAGTTACCACCAGCCCCTGCAAAGTCAGACCCTGACAGAGAGACAGAGACGGAGAGCAAGAGCAAAAACGAGGAGCAGGCTGGGATCAAGAGATGAAGGCTAAATATGGGTTATAGAGCCACTTTGATTCGATATTGTTATACCCCCTATAGAAACATACATTGCCACCCATAACAAATAGAACCCAACAGCTAAACTGGCTTAGTCCGCTCACCTCGTAGGCCATGCCAAGGCCGTAAAGAGGGATCACCACACTGAAGTAGTCCTGCCTGGACTCCAGGGCGTAGTCGCCCAACTCCACCAGCTCCCAGTCAAGCCTGCGACCGCCCACGTACACCTCCCACTGGGTGTCCATGTTTCCGTAGTGCAGCTGCAGACGCACCCCTTTATCGGAGCACCCCCCCTCCACTCTGGGCAGGACTGCGGACGGATGGGTTAGAACGTTTGATGGATGGATAGACATAATTCAAGTCAGGCAATAGTTTCAGGTGTTAGCCTATCTTACAGCAGCCTACCTTTTGAGTTTCATTTAACCGTATAAGCTCACAGAGGGGCTAACACAGGCAAGGTGCACAATGTTATCATCATCCAGGATAACATTGAAAGCAGAATTTCCTGTGCTTGTATGGGAACGCATGCGATTTATACATACCAACATCCTGTATGACAGCCTCCACGGTGGCAGGGTAGTGATACAGGTCAGAGTGGGGGGAGATGGAAAGGGTAAAGGTCACTGCCAGACTGTACCTCCTGTACCCCTGCCCGAGATACTATAGGACCAGAGACAGGAGGATATCAGTGAAAAAGATGTAGTCTAAGGTCATAGCTTTAGTATTGAACATTCATGTGGATGTTAGCCATGCTTAGCATAGACAAGTTCCCTTACACACACACACAGAGCAGTTTCACTGTTTCTTCTTCTCATATATGAACTGCTTCAGTGTTTATAGTATCACACTGACTGGTACTAACATGCTGCACCCTCACCTTCTGAGAGACCAGACGGTGTGAGAAGGGGGTCTTCAGTAGGTAGGCATGGGTCCCATTGGGGAAGGGGACCTGTGAGAGGTAAACCCCTACCTGCTCTGCCATGGACTGGTCCCCCACGGTGATGTTGGACAGAGACACGTCAGGGGGGAACAAGCCCAGAGACACAGAGAACTGTCCCTCAGAGGGATTGGTTTCTGCAGGAGGAAGAACAGTCATAACTTACAGGATGGAATGTTCTCTCATTAACATGTTGGTGGACGTTAACCTGGTTCCAGATCCGTTTGTGCAGTCTTGCCAACTCCTATGCTCATGTCGTTGTCAGACGACGACCATAGGAGTTGGCAAGACGTCAAACATGGATGAGCACACCCTGATGCAGAGTTTCCCCAAACTTGGTCCTGTCCTGGCGTCCCGTCCCCCGGGTGCAAGTTTTGGCACTACGCAGCGTCCCGTCCCCCTGGGTGCAAGTTTTGGCACTACGCAGCTGATGCAAATAGTAAAAGCTTGATGATTACTTGGTTATTTGAGTCAGCCAGGACCGAGTTTGGGAAACTTTGTCCTAATGGAGGCTCTTAAGTGAAACGTTGGCCAAAGCGACAGAATGGAGATATGCAACTTTCTTTTTAATTTGTATAATATGACAACTACTTGCCGTTGATAAGGATCGGTGTCTGAGGCAGATGGATGATTGAAAGGGGTCTAAAGGAGCGGTATTCAGTGTGGGCCCACTGAGAATCCTCCCACTGGTGCATGTAGAACAGGTCAATGAAATAGGACTGGGAGTACTGGCCATCCACCACCTGGCTCTGAGGGAGAGAGTATTGGTTAAGGCAACATCAATTAAATCAATGGCATTATGAAAACCATAATATGAAGCTGCAGCTCCAAGGAGACAAATCAAAGAAGGAAGAGGCTGGGACACATACAGTGCTGCTTGAAAGTATGTGAAGCCTTCAGGGCTGGTCATTATTTTGCTATAAAATATTACAATAAAGAAAATCCTTATCTAAATCCCAATTTGTAATAAAGACATTCCAAGTAAATGACAGAAACAAAAAAGTATATCTTCATTGTTTATTTAACAAAAGTGGTTTATTTTACAGAAACTCCATTTTGTGCAACACATATGTGAACCCCTTCAGTCAATAGCTTGTGGCACCTCCATTAGCCACGATAACTTGGACTAAACATCTCCTATAGCCAGTAATCAGTCTGACATTTGTTTTGAGGGATTCTTGCTCACTCCTCAACTCAGCCAATTGAGTGAGGTTTGAGGGGTGTCTGGCATGAACTGCCCACTTCATGTCCTGCCACAGCATCTCGATTAGATTTAGGTCAGGACTGACTTGGCCAATCCAAAACACAAATCTTTCTCCTGAGCCATTCTTTGGTAGATTTGGTTGAATGTTTTGGGTCGTTGTCTTGTTGGAAGACCCGTTTTCGGCCCAGCTTTAGCTCCTTGACTGATGGCCTGACGTTCTCTTCAAGAATCTCCTGGTATACCTCAGAATTCATGGTTCCCTTAATGATGTGGAGTCGTCCAGATCCAGAGGAGGAAAAGCAGCCCCAGATCTTGACATTCCCCACCATGCTTGACTGTTGGGATACGTTTTTTTTTTGGTGGTAGGAAGTGTTGGGTTCTCGCCAAACATAGCAGTGTTCATTATGACCAAAAAGGTCAATTTTGGACTCACCGGTCCAGAGAATGGACTTCCAGAAACCTTCAGGTTTGTCCAGGTGGTCTGGCAAAGTTAAGACGGGCAGTTTGGTTCTTTTTTGACAGCAGAGGCTTCTTCCTAGCAACCCTCCCATAAATGGCATTTCGATTCAGCGTTCTTATTGTTGAAGCATGCACAGTTACCTGAGATGCACCAAGGGAGGTCTGCAAATCTCTAGATGTTATGTTTGGGTTGGCTTTTACCTGATTTATTATTGTTCTTGTTGCTCTTGGGGATATTTTGGAAGGGCGTCCACTAGGCCGAGTTGCTGTCATGTTAAATGCTCTCCATTTGTAAATTATTTGCCTCACAGTGGACTGATGGAGCTCAAATATTTTTTAGATGAGTTTATAGCCTTCCCCAGACCGATGTGCTCTCACTACCCTCGTCCTGATGTCCTCTGATCTCATTTCCTCTCGGCATGGTGTGCTTTGCATTCACCTGGATGGGTCACACCAAACTGACCAGGTTTCTTATCTCTATTTATCAGAGTCCTGCCCAAACTCTTTCCTAACGATCTCTCCTTTGATTGGTTCATTTGGTAGCTAATTATTTACCCACCTGATTCTACTACCTACTTGATTTAACCAATGCAACTTGGGGTTCACTTATCGTATTTTTGCACCTGCACTAATTCCTTTTTAATTTTGTTTTTCTACTATGGTATTGGTAAATATAAACCTGTTATGTCAGATCAAAAATGTTCTGATTAAATTTAGATTTCATGGTAAAAACTGAAAACATCTAATTGCACAAGGGGTTCACCTACTTTCAAGCAAGCACTGTATGCTGCTTCTGAGTGTTTTATTCCCCACCAAATTCACAAAGTTTTGACTTCACAGAAGCGTTTGTCAGGTGCGCATGTCACCTACTCACACTTCAAGGAGACAAATCAAGCCACCCATTTCTTCACTAAAATAGTTGATACAATGAATTATTGGAGAATCATAAAATAATCAATACTTCACTGACATACCAACTGTATTTGTTTGGAAATTAACTAAGTGCAGTTCATGATTAAAACTGGGATAAGAACCAAAAACCAACTGTGACATTAAAGATCCATCTCCTTCTGTCTGTAATACCTTGATGTAGCCACCTTCTGCACCAAATGGAATCCTGATCTCCACAGCTCCATCCTGTTCCTGTATGTCATATCCTCTCTGACGGGCCACACAGTCGCTCAGGTAACGTCCCTCCACGCCCACCCTCAGACCCCTGTCTCTGAAGGGGGGCTGCACCAGGGGGGACAGCACCTTGGGGAACCTCCACAGAACATGCTTCCCATCCATGGAGGCCTTGTCTGGAGAAGAAAGAGGAGGGGGTAAGAAGGTACTAAAACTGCTGTAGAGGCAAATTAGACCTGATCCCAGATCGGTTTGTGCGGTCTTGCCAACTCTTATGGTTATGGCCAGCTGTGTTTGGCGTGACAATGACCATAGATGTTGGCAAGACCACACAAACAGATCTGGGACCAGGTTAGAGGCAAATGGGGTTATGTTCACATATTATGCATTCAGTTACATTAATGAAATTCAGTTATGAACCGACTATTTTCCAATGATCAAAAGAGACGTACTTGTGGTGCAAGCAACCGAGGTGTCCACTCTTATAAGTGTCCAGTGGTGTTTGTAAAGAATGGTGGCACTGACCACCTCCACCTCGATGCCTTTCTCCTGAAACAGTTAGAAAAGGTTTCACATTACTTAGCCAAGCAGAACCGAGTCGAGCTGCACTGGACAGTTGCTGGAACTGCACTGGAGAGGACATTGTGAAAATATCCAAGCCAGAACAGCATGGTTTAGGTTATCACAATAGTGTGAAAAGGGCATTGGTTTCTCTGACCAGTATTCCATAGGAAATAGAGCAAAGCAAACTGACCTAAAACACTAGTGATAGACCAATGGAAACAGATCTACAGCCCTGCAGTCTGACCTGTAGGATATAGGCGAGCCGGGAGCCATAGGCACAGCGCAACAGAACACGTGTCTCTGTGGTGTTGATGTGGTAGCCCAGGAGATGGGCCATCTCTACAGGCAGGGTCTTCTCTTTCATATAGGGGCTCCCATCACTCCCCTGCTGGTCACCTGGCACCCGGAACACCACACGCCACTCCCTCAGACCCTCCCCCGACCACTGGAGAGAGATTACAAGGTATTAACAAAGAACTCAAAAGGCATTGAAAGAGGTGGCTATGGGAAACAACAAAACTATTGAATTGTATGAAAAACGTATGCACTTACTAACTGTAAGTTGCTCTGGATAAGAGCGTCTGCTAAATGACTAAAATGTAAATGAATTTTACATTTGGGCTACAGATAAAACATACATCTACAAGATGTGTATTTGATCCCAGTGGATAGCACTTGAAAGCATGAATGGCCCGCTCGTTGGCCTCTGTGTGAGAAAGGGAATACCTACCACAGGTGGGGGTGTCATCCATTCCAGACCCTTGTTGTTGGCAGGAGGGACCTCTTTCATGGCAGACACCTAATATTGGAAGATAAAGAATTGAACAACGATATACACATACATTCTATCCCTAATGAATAGAGTAAATCATGTCAGGTGACAATAAATCAAGAAAGGTACAGTCAGTCACATATAGCTCATTGTAAGTTAAAAGTTTCCATGACCTCCATATAGTTCTCCTCACAGACTATCTCCCGGGGTTTCCAGGGCTGGCGCAAAGGGCAGGTCAGCTGGAGAGGGTAGGAGGTCTCCTCACCGTCAACATCTCTGTTCACAAACCACACCAGCAGTCGAAAAGCAGTGTCTTTCTGAAGAACATAATATAGCAGGAGGCATACTAACGAAAATGCTAAAATGTAGAAACTGACTCATGCACATATGCTAACTTTGTTCACACTTGAATTATTAGGAACCCTTAGAAGAAAAACAGGTGTGACACTCGCTCACAACTAAAAGTTGATGGTTTTTGTTCTTTGGAGGCTCCTCCCTATTCGTTATGAATCCCCAAACTGTAGTAATCACCTCATTGTCTACATGACAGGCCAGGTAAGAGGCACGGAGGACCAGGTCCCCCCAGGAGTCCAGCACCATGGTGTAGCCACACTCTGCTGCCCCCTGGCCTGAGAGGGTGTGGACACCACTGCTGTCTGGTTGGTTGGGGGAGAAAGAAAGAAAGTTGTTAAAGTTGATGCCAGAATCTAAATAAGAGCTGCAAGGTATCCAGTTCATGGAATTCACATTTCTATGACCTGTTCATGTGATGCAGTGATACAAGCCTCATACTAGGTAGCTACAGTTTGAAACAGCAGTGATATGTGAATGCTTCCATACAGCCTCTACACAGTAGGTAGTGTAAAGCATAGCATAGAGAATTTACGACCAACCTTTACTTGGCGACGCTTCCTCAATTCCCAACTTGGAAGACAACACGTCTTCTAAACTTTAATGTCTAGTTGCAGGGTGTTAGCTTTAATTTAGAAAAAATGTTCCGTTATTAAATTAATGTTTTGCTCCGTGAAGTAATCCAACAATATGTACGCTGCCATCTTGTCTATTTAAAATCTTCTCTCAGTGATTGAGACAGGTGGGTGTCCACCCCAAAGTGCTGCATGTCAGGATGATACTCACCTGTCTCGATCAATGAGAAGATTTGAAATAAACAAGATGGCAGCATACATTGTTGGATTACTTCATGGAGAAAAAAATATCATTTTTATCATGGAGCATTTTCTAAATTCAAACGAACCCCCTGCAACTAGACATGGAAGTTTAGAAGACGTGTTGTCTCACAAGTCGGGAATTGAGGAAGTATCGCAGAGTAAAGGTTGGTCAAATTCTGTGTTATGCTTTACACTACCTACTGTGTAACGGCTGTATGGAAGCATTCACATATCACCCCTATTTCAAAGTGTAGTTACATACTAGGCATCATCTCACTCACCTTCAACATCAAACCGAAACTTCTGACCAAGGAGGCTTGACTTGACTGACAGCCAGAAGTGGCGATCCTGACACTCAGTTCTGAACATTCCTTCACAAAATAAAGAGGATGTCATATACTTTGTACACTGTAGGTAGTCACTGGTTATGAAGTGACTAGAGAGGGATGCCGGTTTGATACCAACTTACCAATGGGTATGGTGTCGGTAGCATAGATGGGAAGTAGGCAAAGCAAAAGTACACTAAAAATAAAAGTCAGTCACAGCACACACGTTAATTCCTTGGGCATGACACCAGGGGTGTAATCATTACCGTGATTTTGTTGCAAAATATTTTGTCTATTGCAAAATGTTTTGCAACAAACCATTTACTCTAAACGAAAAGCAAACGAGAGTTTATTGGACAAATTCGGTAAGTCCCTCCCAGTTTTGTTATGTTTGCTCTGGGGTGTATTCATTCCACAGATTCTGTTACAAAACGTTTCTTAAACTGAAGCAAACGAAACGGGGAAGGACCTACCTGATTTTGTCCAACAGAAGCTAGTTTTGCTCCGTTTGGTTCTTAAACAGTAAACGGTTTTAGTAATGAATACACCCATGAAATACAGCAACTGTTACAACAGTCAAATCTGAATACACCAACTACACTTCAAAGCTTTGGACAAAACAATGACATTCGTAGGCCTAATATCATTTAAAAACCAAAGCAGCTCACCAGAGAACTCTTTCAACTTTCATGATTGTGATTTCATAAACAACAAGGTTCTTGTGTATTTGTAAAGTTTAACTTATAATTCCAAAATTCGTTTTTTCTTTCAGATTCGTTGTACTCTTGAATCAGGCACATTGTCTTATCAGCCGCCATTTTGACTTGGTAGGGACCACACACCTGGCAGGTGAATCAACAATTAGCCTAATTGCACAGGCTATGTATCTACATGGTCCTCTGTAGCTCAGCTGGTAGAGCACAGCGCTTGAAACGCCACGTTAGCTTCGTTATCATGTGGATGCTAACAAGCTAGCATGCATGCTCACGTAACAGCCATTGTCAGCCAATCCAGTAGAGGTTGGAAGCTATGGTGAGCTTCGATTGGTCACTCGCATCGCAATATCCCGGAGTATTTGGATAAAGTTAAGCTTTTCCCAACTTTAGTTCCGCCCTCGCCCATGGCGCTTCCCCCGCGGTCCTACCATTGAAAGTGAATGGCCGCGTCATAGTATAATGTCCAATTTCCACATAACACGATAATTTGGATAGCCACGGTAGCTTCGCCCTCATCTAGACAATCCTTTAGGGGTTGGAAGAATAAGTGAGTTGAGATTGGTCAATAGCCTGCGATGTCACAGAGTATTTGCGAAAACGTATTATTAGATTAAATTAAACACTTCAGAGGTGCGTTCAATTCGCTTGAATGTTTGCTACGTTGCGGAACGGTTTGTACTGAATGACACGTTTCCCCAGAAATGCGGGGGTGTATTCATTACGCTGATTCTGTTGCTAAACGCGTCGTCTGTTGCAAAGCGTTTTGCAACAGAAACCGTTTACTCCAAACTCTTGAGTTATGTTTTGTTCTTAAACGTAAGTTGTAGTTCAATCGTGTCTCCTCAAAAAATAAGCAGCTGGAAGAAGTTGGAACGAACCCCGCGGACTTCACTTCATTTTAGAGCATGGAATAATCGATAATTTATGCGCAGCTTGTGCCAAACACTTCAGACTATTCAGATTGGAAAGGCAACGCATGGAAACCATACAAATGAAATTAACTAGCTACAACTTCCGTTTAAAAACCCACTTTGAAGAGCGTTTGAGTAAACGGTTTGTTGCAAAAACGTTTTGCAACAGAATTGGCGTAATGAATACACCCCCGCATTTCTGGGGAAATGTGTCATTCAGTACAAACGTTCCGCCACGTAGCAAACGTTCAAGCGAATTGAACGCCCCTCTGAAGTTTTTGCAAATACTCTGACATCGCAGGCTTTTACTTCATCCGGAAACATGGAGGCTGTCGTTTGTGATGTTGTTTCACGAGAGGATCTCTTGGTAAGTTTTGTTGCTACTACAGGACTTCGTTGTCGATTTGATCTAGCTGACATTGAACGTTTAATTTGGATTCATCGGGGTATCATTTATTGGAAATGTCGAGGCCAATTCAGTAGAACTAGCTACAGTAGTTAGCTATCGATTCAGCTAACGTGTCGCTCTGGATAAGAGCGTCTGCTAAATGACGTAAATGTAAATGTAAGCTAGTTAACGTTACTGTAGTCACTAACTAACGTTAGCTAGCCTGTCATTGTTGTTTGGCTATGTTATACAGTGGTTCTGGATAGCATTATTCGCTAGCAAGCTAGCCATGTTTTTGGAGATGGCTAATGAATCAGATGTGAACGAAAATGTGAAGATCTAGCTAGCCATCATTGCAATTTAATAATAATAATAATAATAATATGCCTTTTCGCAGACGCTTTTATCCAAAGGGATTTACAGTCATGTGTGCATACATTTTTTATGTATGGGTGGTCCCGGGGATCGAACCCACTACCCTGGCATTACAGGCGCCATACTCTACCAATTGAGCTACAGAGGCCCACAAGCACTCAGGACATGCGTTCAGTACCGAACTCGTTAACAACTATCAGGTTGCTAATGGCCTGGTACTCAGCGCTCTATTGTCCCTCTAACCACTCCGACATCAATGCAAATACACTCGAAAATCACATCAAACACTCATCATCAAAACAGTATCATGCTTTTAAAACTCAGCTCACTGTGATGATCAATTTGAAGAAAGAAGTTCAACAACATGTTGAAACTGAGTGGAAACATGGTCGTTGTGGATGTTGTTTCAAAGCCAAACAACTAAATGGACAGCACTTTAAGGTTATGATTAAATAAAACACCCATAAGCACACAGTGCCTTTAGAAAGTATTCATACCCCTTGACTTATTCTACATTGTGTTGTGTTACAGCCTGAATTCATATATATATATTTTACCCATCTACACACTATACCCCATAATGACAAAGTGAAAACATATTTCTAGAAACTTTTGCAAATGTATTGAAAATGAAATACAGAAATACCCCTGAGTCCATACATGTTAGAATCACCTTTGGCAGCGATTACAGCTGTGAGTCTTTCTGGGTAAGTCTCTATGAGCTTTGCACAATTGGATTGTACAATATTTGCCCATTATTCTTTTCAAAATTCTTCAAGCTCTGTCAAATTGGTTGTTGATCATTGCTAGACAAACATTTTCAAGTCTTGCCATAGATTTTCAAGCAGATTTAAGGCAAAACTGTAACTTGGCCACTCAGGAACATTCACTGTCTTCTTGGTAAGCAACTCCACTGTAGATATGGCCTTATGTTTTACGTTATTGTCCTAGTGAAAGGTGAATTCATCTCCCAGTGTCTGGTGGAAAGCAGACTGAACCAGGTTTTCCTCTAGTATTTTGCCTGTGCTTAGCTCCATTACGTTACTTTTTTATCCTGAAAAACTAACCAGTCCTTAACGATTACAAGGATACCCATAACATTATGAAGAGTGGTACTCAGTAATGTGTTGTATTGGATTTGCCCTAAACATAACACTTTGTATTCAGGACAAAAAGTGAATTGCAGTATTACTTTAGTGCCTTGTTGTAAAACAGGATGCATATTATGGAATATTTGTATTCTGTACTTCCATCTTTTCACTCTGTCAATTAGGTAAGTATTAAGTAGTAACTTCAATGTTGTTGATCCATCCTCAGTGCTCCTATCACAGTCATTAAACTCTGAAACTGTTTTAAAGTCACCATTGGCCCCATGGTGAAATCCCTGAGCGGCAACTGAGTTAGGAAGGACGCCTGTATCTTTGTAGTGACTGGGTGTTTTGATACACCATCCAAAGTGTAATTAATAACTTCACCATGCTCAAAGGGATATTAAGTGCCCTTCTTTTCTTTGCCCCATTGGAAAACCTCCCTGGTCTTTGTGGTTGAATCTGTGTTTGAAATTCACTGCTAGACTGAGGGACCTTACAGATAATTGTATGTGTGGGGTACAGAGACAATGTAGTCATTCAAAAATCATGTTAAACACTTATTGCACACCGATTGAGTCCATGCAACTTATTATGTGACTTGTTAAGCAAATGTTTACTCCTGAACTTATTTAGGCTTGCTATAACAAAGGGGTTGAATACGTTTCAGCTTTTCCTTTTTTATTAATTTGTAAAAATATTTAAAAACATAATTTACCTTTAACATTATGGGGTATTGTGTCTAGGCCAGTGACACAAAATTTG